TCACTTTCAACCATATTTATTGTATGCATCCATTAACCCTTTTGCCTATATGTTGTCATATATTTATCTTGGAACCCTATCTTTCTGACAAGGGATATGCACGGCCATGAATTTTATGAACAGATTTTTGTGGTTTAAGGGTGGCAAAGACTTCAGATCCATCATTCTCCCTCCTCTTCTCACGCCGCCCTCCTTATCTATTAGAAAAGAGTTGATTGTTTGGCTTGAATTTCATCACTATGCTTAATTATCATTGGGTATAGGAATCAGAATTTTCCATAATAGGTCAGTTTCAAATGTGCAATAGGGCGTCTTTGCATAAGAACGAGGAGAAAGTAGCAGATAGAGTTAGCATATTCGTTTGCTTTTATTATGTGTTTACATACCCAATGATGAAGGAAAGGTTGAGATTTGACTAATGTTAAGCATTTGTATTAGTGGTGGAAAGGAAGGTACCTTTCTTAGTGCCCAGCAAAACTTGAGAAGACTTGCTTCTATAGCGTTCTCTACATGATTCCTTGTGACAAAAAACACTTCGAACCCCTTGTTCTTGAGCATGCATTTTGACTCTCCACCATTCGGGAAAGAAATGGTGCGGGCCTCAAACTCCATTTCATAAAGCTAAAAGCTTATTCAGTGGATTGGATTAAGATAATCAACATGCTCAATGAACTCTCTGCTCCCCAATATTTGTTAAGAAACTATATAATAAGTTGACCTTTTCTGCTTCTGTAAACATCTTCTCCACCCTTTTGTCAAAGCAAATCGTGGGGGAATCACACAGAAAGTCGGTACTTTTTTGAAAATTTGTGTATGATTCTTTGGGCCAAGCATCTTCTTTAGTATAATAATTTGAGGAAATGTAATGGTGTCCTGTATATTAGCTTAGTTGGTTATGCTTTTGAGCTACTATAGCTAGAGCTAGGCAGGTGCAGTTTACAGCAGGAAAGATACATTTAACAAAGAACTCTGCAGTTCCTTTCTGGTAAACACCAAGATTCTGATAAACATAACAGATGAAAGAAAACAAAAATTAATTAAGGGGGAATATTGTACTCAGGAGTCTTATATTTTAATGTGTGTACTTTCTGATCATCATTCATAAATTAGATGGGCAGAACTCCCAATCAACTGCTGGAATTAGAGATTGCGTTCTCCTATTTAAATACAATCGAAATCCCACAAGTAGCCTACTGTTGCTGTTCTCTACTAATTTGCTGCCTAAAGCTAACAATTGCAGGATAAGGAAATGTTTGCCATCATAGTTGTTTTTCTAATTTCAGTGAAAAAGTATTTCTCAGAATCAAAGAGACATTGGAGGCTGATTAGTGATGGCTCTGCCGAGCAATAGATGTTGTATTGTTTAACACCATATGATGTGAAGACACTTCTGATACTTGGTTGTGCTTAAACTGAGTATTCATGATTCCACAGTCATTACTCTAGTCCTGAGGCGGCTCATCTCATCATATTACGCAGTAAGGAACCCAAAGGACGAGCGGTTTCTATAGGAGCTGATAATGAGATAATGGTACCTAGCTAATGATAAGGGAAGGAAAATTAAGGCAGAATCTTGTGCTTTCGGAGCCTTAAGTTATGAATTGTGTACTTTCTAGTCATCAATCAAGAAGAGAACTCCCCCTCAGCCGTGAAATTAAAGATTGCACCTCATGCTAAAAGAATTTTCCTCCCCACGCCTAATCCCACTTGCGTTGTTCTATATATTGAAGCCAAAGTCTAGCTATTGCATAATGATTGTGCCATTCCTTTAAGTTGTACCATTCCAAGCCTAAGCCTAAGCCTAAGAGGTTTGAACACCTTTTCTAAGAGGAAGTTTAGGTTCAAACTTTCTTGCGACTGCCCCTCTTTGTTACAAATGCTGGCGTCCTCCTTATGTGTCGTAGGCAATTTGTAAACATCCCGTAAAACCTGACTCCCTAAGCCTTTGGCCTGTCATGATCTCTCATTATCCTAAACTTTTTCCGACCTCAAGAATTATGGATATTCAGAATTCCGCATTCATATTGTAAACTAGTCTTGAGGCGGCTCAATGCCCTTCTTATTCAAAACAGTGTCAGATTCTTCCCCAAGGGTTGACAATGAAATGTGGTGTGAAAATTAATATGGTACCATACCATCAAAGTATCCTTAATACTGGGCATATGTAGGATCTACTTATTATGCCTCATTCAATCCGATGGTTGGCAGGAAACGTCTACATTATGCTGAGTTACGTAAAGAAAAGGAAGCAGCAGTGGACCAACCAAAGAGCCAACCAATTAAAGCTAGAATGAGTTCTGGCACTTCTTACCTGTAATTTTCCACGTGTTCTTGATTAGGAGAAAGCAAAGTCAAACGAAAGAGTTGTGGGGTTTCGTTTCATGATTCTGATGTCATTTTTCTCGCACTGTTTTGCATGTTTGCTGCTGCAAGGCAGGAGCAAGACAGGAGGAGCCATTTTCATTCATGACCTTTCTTGATTGGGTTTTCCACCTCTTTTTTATTTCATCTCCTTACTCCATATCTATCTCCATTCTTCTCACGGGATCTTTGGCGTGTCAGCAGCACTTGGAGTGGAGCATTTCATTTTCATGGCCGACCATACAACACACTGAATTTTCCTAGACGAAGGGTGCTCCAAACTGAGAAGCAAGAACTTCAGAAACGACTTGCCTTCTGAAGTTTCTTACAGTTTCACCCATCTTTTCTCTAATTTCGAATTACGCTAACCTCCCTTAAATTTGTTGTATGGGACATGAAATTCTTAAATTACTCTTCTTGTCAAACAAAAAATAAAAAATAAAACTTGGTCCATTGCTCATGTATTATTACTCATTCCAAGAACTCGTACTATTTTTTGGGTCTCTAAGGGTTAGTTCGAGCGATCAGCTCTCCCTCTTTAGGATATGGTAGACTTATCTGGATAACCAAAGTTCGGGCCCCCTTGTTACCGTGCTCGGAGTGGAGTGGGGCTTCCTCTCCCGGGCCGGAGTGGAATTAGTCCGATCAAAGGCCCGATACCCACTCCGTCAGAAAAAAAAAAAAAAAAAAACTATTTTTGGCACTTTAGGTATACAAATATATCATCCTCCTCCATCACTAAATATGGATTGATGCAGCTAAGAACTCAGCAACTATTGAATCAAGTGACGACCAAATGAACAAAAAGTTTATGTCCCTTTTTTATCCACAATATGCATGGGCATACCTGTCGGTCAGGGACAACATCTGATGTAAATTAAAGGATGTCTTAGTAGTATCCTAATCAGATAAGAGACAAGAATTCCAGCAACGTCTAATCATTGGATTAGAAATCAGATGCCCTCCTGATCACATCTAACCAACGAAATGAACCCCTCTTTATTCATTGATTCTAAACTCAAACAGCGTTGCAATTAACTTTGCGTTGCTTCTTTCTCCTGTTCTGATCTTAATCATGCCGAATAAAAAAAGAAAAAAAAAATCTTTCTCAGGCCCTCTTTGCCGGGTATGTTTTCTAAGCGTATTCTAATTCATTTGATTATTTATATTACGAGAAACAGCTACCATTCGAAAGAAGAAAAAAAAAAGAAGAAGAAGGGATCATTGAACTAAACTCCATACAAGTTATGCATTTGTGTAATATTTGCACCTTTCCAGGTTTTGTACTTTTTTGTCTCACCCCTCCATATCAGTTGGAAGATTTCGCACTTGTGTTGCCGTATATTTCTTTAGACTATTCATATCAGTTGGAAGATTTCGTACTTGTGATACCGTGCAATTCTTTTAAACTAATACGTAAGAGCATTACCATGTGCAGCACCTCCTCTTGATCGCAGATGCTGACAAGCTAAGCCGCTCGTGGGCAACACTCGACTTGAATTCGGATTGAACTAAATTCGAACTACGTATTTTAGGTCTCGAGTCGAATTCGAGTTCTCTTATATGCTACTCGACGTGTCTAATTAAGTAGTTCTATTATTTATATAATATATTTATTTTAATTATGAAATGATCATTATGAGTTTGTGTTTTTATCAAAATTCGAGTTTTTGTTTGAGCACTTAAACTCGATGATAAAACTTGAGAACAAGATAGAGTCGAGTTCGAGTTATATTTATTACCCCTAAGAGTCGACGTCGATGTCGAATTCAAGTAATCGAAAATTCACTAAATTTTAGATCAAACATAGCGCTACTCGATCTCGACTCGACTCAACTCGCGAGCCCCCTTACTCTTGATATTTCATCAATTAATTTATCAATAAAAAACAAGCCCCAATAAACACTGGTGGTTCGATTCTTTAGTTCCCATGCAACCGACGAAAATATTCAACCAAAAATGTGGGTAGTCCAGTTCAGACATACACACACGTTAGACAAAAAAGATATTAATTGAAGATGCAGAGTCAAGTCAAAGACGAGCAACTATGTCAAAGATTCGTATGTCTGAGTTGTATGATCACACACAGGAATCATAATTGTCACCTTTAAAATTCTTCTTCAACATTCATGTTTCTTGTTTTTTAGTAGTTAGTACAGCTGGTGATATCGATCCCGATCGAGTTCAACATTGATCGGCAAGTTTCGATAGACTTAATTTACACGTCAAATGTTGTATTAGAACCTTGCATGTATGGTGATGTTAAAACATCCAAAGATAGTGAAATATTATTATGCTTTTAGAAATACTTCACTCTTGCATGTATATATAGACTGCAATTATTGGTAGTAAAAATTTTTACGTTTTTTGTGATTATATTTTTTTATCTCATATACATCAAATTGTTATGATATTTTTTTTAAATTTTTACAAAAACTCCTAAAAATAGTAATACCCCTGTATTATTGCTTGTTTTAGATAAATAGTGGGTCAAATTGTGGACACAAAATGGTTCTTTTGTTTTCTTCCAAGTCTAACCTCTCTAACTTACACCTACCCCGCAAAAAAAAAAAAAAAAAAAAAATCCTCTATTTGAGAAGAAAAAAAAATCACTTTGACCTATGCTTATTTGTAGCAAACATGTTCCGATGTTCGTGTTTCCAAGAATTATCGAATTACAGCCTCCCCTCCTCCTCATGGCAATAAATAATAGTGCGCTGATAACAATAGAGTTCTATACCGACTTTTTCTGTTTTCACTGAAAATTGCATCTTCCTTGATGAATCATGCCATACCGTTTTACCTTTTCCAACATATATAAAAGCTTTGTACTATCTCTCTGCACCATATACTGATAGACTCGATCTTTTGCTTACATACTCAGTCTCTTTTTTTATTTTTCTTATGATGTTCGTGTTAATAATGCAATAGGAGAGGAGGAGAAGAAGTAAGTCATTGAATGCTCTGCATTTTATCCTCTACTCCCTCCCATGTTCTGGCCCCAGCCTTATAACTTCTCATTCTTCAACGTTATTTCAATACTACTACTGATCATTCATACCCACGTAACCAGTTTCTCTTCATCTTCAAAACACACAGTCACACACTAACTCTGCTGTACTGAGTCCTTCTCTCTATCAGGGTTCTGTGAGAATCCTCTGCATCACCACATATAACCGTGTCTTAGTGTTCCATATGTACAAAAGATCTTTTCTTGAATTTTTGTGGTGAATTTTCTTTTCTTTCAATTCCTGTTATTCTTTTGGCGGATTTTTTAAGCTTCCATTTTCTGCTTTCAGGGATCATGGGACTGATGCAATAGTTTCCATGTGATCATCATTTGAAAAAAAAAAAAAAAAGTGAAGGAGAGACTGATTCTTGAAATTCTTTTTGGGTTAACTGATGAAGACAGGAGGGAAAATGTTGATACGCAGATGTGTGTTTATGGCTTTGGTGATCAGTGGAATAGCTGCAAGGGTTATATACCCTACCGAGGGGCAGCCCCATCGGATTCTCTTGGATACAGACGTTGATACGGATGATTTGTTTGCTCTATTGTATCTTTTGAAGCTTAACCGATCAGAATTTGATTTGCAGGTCAATGCTTTCTCCAAAATGTGTTACTTTGATGGTTTATCTTTTATGAGGGGAAGGAGATGTGGTTGGTTTTGTGATGTTTATCTTGAGCTTAAAGGTCTACTCACATGTTTGTTTCGTTCCGTTATTTAGCTAAGGAGTAGTTTTTGGTGAATATTAAATTTGGGTTTCAACCATGTCAGTTTCATTAGTTTGACAGCTTCCGTAGCTTTGGCTGGGCTTTACTAGGTTCCTTAAATCCAGAAGTTTGTTCTTAATATTTATACCAGGATTATGCAAAGGCCAACTAATAAAGATAATGATTGAAAGCAGTAATGAAATATTATTCTAGTTCTGAAAGTACATGTATTTTGACTTTTTTTTTTTTTTGGTTTTGTGGATACTGATGTAATCTAGTTGAGGCTTACAATTTGACTGCATATAGAAACTTCAATCAATAAAAAAAAAAAGTTCTTTTTTTTTCATGTAGTCATCAACAAATCGTTTGATAATTCATCATGAACAAAACAGAGAGATGACTGACGAATACTGTAACAATGCAGGCAGTTACCTTAAACACAAATGCATGGACTGATGCAGGACATGGTGTCAATCAAGTCTATGACCTTCTTTACATGATGGGACGTGATGACATTGGTGTTGGAGTGGGAGGTGAGGGTGGAATCCTTGAAGATGGTACCATACTTGCAAATGTAGGAGGATATCTTCCTCTAATTGAACAGGTAAGCCAGTGTTTCTTTGCTTCATGTCCAGAAGTGCTGCAACATTCAACAGTATTTCTTGCAATGGACAACAAATTCTCAGATTTTCTTCTGTTTAGCTGAATTCTGCTACTCATGTTTTATATTGCTTTAACTAGGGGATTGGTACAGCTGGATATTGTAGATACAGGCAAGCCATTCCAGTAGGTCTTGGAGGTCGATTAGACGTCGATACGAATTTTGGCTTTCGCAAAGGTTTTCTCCCGCAGGTATGAACTATTGAAGTGGATATATGAATGGCGACTCGAAGTTGAAGACAATTTATAAAGATTTTATTGCTGTCCAGGGAGATTTGATGTTTTATCTCAAAACTTCTTATCCGAGTTTTACATGTCTGAATATTGGTGTTGACTTCTGTATCTTTTTCTGGTCTTTGCTTAGGCATTGCTGACTTTGATATCACTCTGAATCCAGGGCAGAAGAAAATATTTACCTCTTCAGCAACCAACCGCTCAGCAAGTAATGATTGACAAAATTTCTGCCGGTCCAACAACTGTCTTTATAATTGGAGCCCATACAAATTTTGCTATTTTTCTTATGAATAATCCACATCTAAAGAGAAATGTCAAGCATATTTACATCATGGGTGGTGGTGTGAGATCAAAGAATCCAACCGGTTGCTGCCCAAAAAATGCCAGTTCATCTTGCCAACCTCGGCAATGTGGTGACCAGGGCAACTTGTTCACAGACTACACTAGTAATCCTTATGCAGAGTTCAACATGTTTGGAGATCCCTTTGCAGCTTACCAGGTAATCTGAATTTGCTTTACATCAAGGAAATTGCGATTGTTTTCTGAGATTACTTTGCTAAATTAGGAAATCGGAACCAGAAAAGCTTAAGTCATTCCTCTCTTGCCCTTGTGACACAAGAAATGGCTGTTACCCCTTAGATCTTACTGTTATTCTAATAATAAGCTTTATGTCCTGCAAACTTGAGAATGTGTAATAACACATATAACAACTTCTTTTGCAACATAGGTGATTCACTCTGGAATTCCAGTTACTCTTGTTCCATTAGATGCCACAAACACCATACCAATAAGTCAGGAGTTTTTTGAGACATTTGAGAGGAATCAACATACTTATGAAGCACAATACTGCTTCAAGTCCTTGAAAATGGCTCGTGATACCTGGTTTGATGATCACTTTTTCACGGTAATGACTTGGTAATTTATCAAATGCAGTGCTTCTTCTTGTTTAGAGGCCGATGAGGCATGTTGTTAATGGTAATAATCCGTCAATCTCTTAATGCAGAGTTATTTTATGTGGGACTCATTTTTATCTGGTGTAGCAACTTCAATTATGCGTAAGCCACACAACGAAAAAGGGGAGAATGAATTTGCCGAGATGGAGTACATGAACATCACTGTAGTTACTTCAAATGAGCCCTATGGGATATCTGATGGCTCCAATCCATTCTTTGATGGGCATAAAACACCTAAATTTAACTTGAAAAAAGATGGAGTTCATGGTGGCCATGTCCAGACTGGACTTCGTGATCCATTTTGCCTCGTGAAAAAGGGGAAGGGACGGTGCAAGGTACCATCTCTTTCTGGCGTTTCATATTCTTTTGGTTAATGATACAAGGACTACTTTTAATCGTTATGAAATAGTCATTTTGACCATCTCTGGCAGAATAATATTTCTAGTTCGTGTAGCTTGATTATGAAGAATTAACCAATAGCTTATCTATGCACCAAATTTGATGGCAACATACATAAAGTCACTCTTCCAACATAATAGCTCTCTTGCAACGAAGAGGTTTAGCTAAAGCATTTTGTAGTAGATCCTCTAGATTCATCAACAAGCATCTTTAACCCTTGTTTTTGTGGTTTTCTCCACTTACATTGTACTTGCTCTACAGCAGGAATTTCTTTGCTTTCATTTTCTCTTATCCTATAATGATTTTATATCTGCAATTTTTCTGATAAGCAATTCACTGCATATTAATAGGATGGCTATACAACAGAGGTAACTGGTCAAGGAGCAGTGCGTGTGCTTGTTGCTGTTAGAGCAAAACCTAATCGTGACAGAAGCAGCCCTCTAAACAGAGAGTTCTTTAGAAGCTTTCTTGATGTATGTTAATCCAGTCTGCTTCACTTCATAAACATGAACAGCTACTCATATGGTTTCACTTTTTGTCAATATATGTAAGCAGAAGGCATCAATCATGCTAGCTTCAGTTACATGTTCCAGTTTAGTCCGGGATGCATAAAATTTACACAACTCCACAATATCTCTCATGGCTGCAGGTTCTAAACCATCCTCAACACTCAGGAAGATTCGACATTACAACACAATTTCCTCATTACAAAGAAATTCTTTACAAACCAGATTTCAGGGGAAGGAGACTTGGCAAGAATGTTGTGTTTGACATGGACATGAGTGCTGGAGACTTTCTAGCTCTTTTTTACCTCCTTAAATTACCTGTGGAAACTATCAATCTTAAGGTACACCAGCCTTTTGCATTTACTGTTCCACTGCAAGTTATAGATTATGTTGTATACGTAGCTCAAGCAAGACTGATCTAAGAACTTTAATAATTTTCATTTATCTGTCTTCATAGTTCTCTGACACATGACTTCTTTGATATGGATCATCATTCAAGGAAAGAAAAATTCATCTCATCCTACTTTGTAATTCTATGACTATAGTTTCTCAAGATTTCTACAAGTTTGTTTGGTAATTGTGGTTTTAGTCTGTGAGAAGCAGAATTCTTAATTTTACGGATCATTTCTGTGAAGGTTAGATATTTGATGGGAACTAGTTTTCTAGCATTCATGAGAAAATGATTTTCTGATATGTATCTCGTCATTTCTGATAGGCTGTGCTGGTTACTCCAACTGGATGGGCAAATGCGGCAACGATAGATGCTGTCTATGATTTACTGCATATGATGGGTCGTGATGACATTCCTGTTGGCCTTGGGGATATGTTTGCATTGAACCAATCTGTTCCAAAGTCTGCTGTGGGTGACTGCAAGTATAACAAGGCTATTCCTCATGGTAGTGGTGGATTTCTAGACTCAGATACTCTCTATGGATTAGCTCGTGATTTGCCACGAAGCCCTCGCAGGCATGTGTTTGCCACTGTTATAATGATCTTGCGCTAGTTCAACTACTAAATAATGTCAACTTCATGTGATTCATACTTCTCCGTAATTTCAAATAAATGTTGCTTTGATTGGAGGCATACATTTTGTCTGATTGAATTCAGATGATAAATCCACATTAATTGCAGGTATACAGCAGAAAATTCTGTCAAATTCGGTGCTCCTCGAGACACTGGTCACCCTGAGCTCAGACAACCTCTTGCACTGGAGGTATGGCAGTCACTAGTGAAAACTCTAGATCCAGGGTCTAAGGTTACCATTTTGACCAATGGACCATTGACTACTCTAGCACACATTGTTGATTTGGGCAAGAATGTAACCTCTTTTATTGAGGTGAGTGGCTTTTCCATACTGAGTGTGTTATAAATAAAGAAAAGAAACTGAGGCCATAGGCATGAGAAAGGAGGTTAACATATAAATCAGTCCGAGTTTCAATATTTAATACCTAAACTCCTGTTTCTTGTACCTCCAGCATGGTCTTTTTCATTCTCTTAGCCCTTATGACATGAAGAATCCACCCATTATTCATTCTAGCTGGCTAGTTTCTCTGCATTACATTAACATCGTTAAAATTAAAGTATCACTGAGCTTTGTTAGCATCAATCTGTAAGTATCACTGTTTTTCTGGGATTTGGTTCAAGGTAATTCTATCTCAGCATATGACAACATTAGGGGGAAACAACCCCTATGGTGTTTATGACCAAAAAGCTCTGAGATAGGAAGCAACAACCACAAAATTATTATTCTCAGTAATAGTCTATACAGAAGACTGATAAGCCATTTCTAAGCATCATACTCTGGAGACATACATGCAATTGCTCATTGAGAAAATGCTGCATGGAATGTGAGATTGGTCTTCAGTGATTAATTTTATATCCAAAAGCTTTGCATGTCTGATGCATGGAATAGCTTATGAAGTAAGATTGGTGGATGAATACGCAAGCCTTGATTTGTGATGCAGGATGTATACATTGTTGGAGGCCACATCAATTATGATAACTGTGAGAAAGGAAATGTCATCAATGTCCCATCCAATGAATACGCAGAACTGAATATGTATCTTGATCCATTGGCTGCAAGGAGAGTTTTTGATTCAGAACTTAATATCACCCTTATTCCACTTGGAGTTCAGCGTAGAGTCAGTACGTTCCAGAAAGTTTTGCAAAGACTCTACCTCACCAAGAAGACCCCTGAGGCATTGTTTGCCAGGAATTTACTGTCTAAGTTACATGATTTGAAACAGGCACATCCTAGATACCAGCATATGGTACATCAATCTTATTGTTTACATAAATCAACTCAATATTTTGTATCTTTATCGATAGGTGAAATTTATATGTGGTTTTAATATAAAATGTCAGTGTTACCATGTGATAGGAAAATCATCTGCACTCCAGAGTCATGCTCTTAATCAATTTTTTTTTTGCATATTTTATTTGAGAACTCAATATGTTTGTTCCTGCAGGAAACATTTCTGGGGGAAATTCTTGGTGCAGTTGTTCTTGCGGGAGATCATTCAACGTTGGAATCAACATTCGAAGTGAAGACTGTCAAGGTCTCTGCAAAAGGCGTTGAATCTGAAGATGGACGAATGATAGTTAGTGAAAAACAAGGGAAATTGGTTAAAGTACTAGCAGATGTGAATTCAAAGGCTTATTATAACCTTTTTGCGAATCAACTTGGTGATAAAAACCAGTCTGCTATAGTTGGAAGCTTTGATGAACAGAGAAAATTGTGGAGTAAATCACCAATATAGAACTAGGAATGCCTTTGGATAACTAGTTGACAGCATAGAAAAGAAAGTTTTTTTTCTGGTGAAAATTCTTTCTGGACACCAGATATTTCCTTTGATACCTTTGATTCTTGAAATTCCAATTACAGATGACACAAATCACATAGAAGAGAAGCTGTGTCAGTTGCCTATACCAACAAAACAAAGAAAAAGGAAGTCAAACCAAGATATTTTTCTTATAGGAGCCCATGATTTTTGGTTCTTTTCATTCGGTGCAGTTCCTCGTGCAATTAAATGAAATGATGAAAACAACCAAGCCTACATAATGAATACTGTAATCTGTTTATTCTAGTTTGTAGGCTGAAAAGCTGTTCAGTTTCTTTTACCTGTTTATATTTTAGGCTGTGAAGATAACTGCCATGTTATTTCAGATGAACTAAGCACAAAATAGAGTCAATCTTCTATTTTTCCTGAAGATAATGTCCATCAAAGCCTGGCATTAGCTTTGAAATATTTGAACTTGTTATAGTTAGGTTAACTCATCCTCGAAATATTCGAACTTCTTGTAGTTAGGTTTACTGATCCTTATCACCCTGAATTTTTTAACCTCTCTCAGATGCATTCAATGAGTTGCATTCTCATTGTGTGGGATGCCATCATTATTCCATTCTGCTACAATCGCTCTTGCTTTCTATACATGACAATATAGCTCATGCAGTCCAGCTTGTGCTGTCATACTGTGGAAGCTGAAAATGGCCTTCAAATTTCCTTTGTAAGTGTCTGCATATAGCTGAATTCCTACATTGCCGTTTCCTACAAAATTTCCTGTTAACTTTCCAGAAATTTTCTTATCTGCTTCAACTAAAGAGGCACGGGATGCTGAAATAATAATACGGTGGTGTATCAAATGGCTCTTCTCGAAAGAGTCAAGAATTAATCTAATCTGAACCGTGTATTTCGGTACCCGAGCCAACGATAATCAGTGGAAAATTGAAGTGTTTAATTTTCTTTTTCGTCTCAAACAGCATCTTACTCTCGCCAACAATCGCTTCAGATACTTTTTTGCAGGTGAGCCCTCTAAGTAATTGCATATGTTGAAGGCGTCGAAAAACTAGGAACTTCAGTTGAACAACAAAGCAACAAGAAGCAAGATAATATAATTAGGAGGCTGTCATAATTCCTGGGAAAGCATCAATCAGTCGGTCCTCTTCTTTTTTCTTCATATGCCAATGCAATGCAGACTCCAGGGCTAGGGGCTCGATTTGAAGACCTAAAATTTCCGTTGCATGCGTTATTGAAGACCTAAATGAACGTGATTCAGATATGGAAGAAAAGGTAGCAAAGAAGTTGACTTCAGTTAAAGTTGATATTTTGTTGAACTTGACATTGAAGTCGATTTCTTTACTCTGGAAAAACGAGCAAGAATATCTACTACTTGGATAAATAACCGATCTCAAGAATATTGAGAATATGGCTAGGGACATGCTGGCAGAACAGAAGGTGCATCCCGGAAAATAATACCCCAACGCAGAGGCTCCACCAAATTGGTACAACTGAAACATCAGATTAAGCAAAGAACAAGAACTGAAATTGATCCAAGCTGATATTTGGTAACAGCTGAACAGACAGAAACCTAGTACTAGATGAAATAAAAGAAAAGCTCAAGTCATTAACTTTCTGAGTTCGCCAAAGCAAAGGCACACAACACCTCTTCCAGTTCCAATCAAAAATTCCTAGATACAAAACCTCACTTCTTAGAGAACCTTATGCTTAGTGATGTAACTCACTCGAAGATCCAGATAGCTTCACAAAAAGAGAGCTTATTATGGTTTTCTCTGCACAGTTCTGATTATCAAAGGACCATCTCATTCCATCATGGGAATAGCTCCCCCTGCCGTGATAATCTGCTGCTCCAGCTGCAGACAACAGTCAGAAGGCAGAATCAGGGATAGAATATAGAATACGCAACTTTATAAGCTTCAAATTTCAGAAGAACGGATAGGCTTATAAAAGTTCATCTACTCACCGTGAATAAAGTCTCAAGCTTGCTCTTCACCAGGAGATACTCTTGCTTTACTTGATGCAAGCATCTTAAGCACCTACGAGATCCCATCCCCCAGATTTCAGTATATGAAACTAGATATTAATTGACTGGAAAAGGAAAAAACAACTCCTGGAGCTTTTATACATTGTTTAGCGAGTAAATGAGTCAAGAAACATGAGAAAAGAGGAAGAAGAAGAAAAAGCTACAATAATCAAAAGGGAGTAAACCCTTGGTTCAAGACAAGATTGCAGAGAAACTTACGCTTCGACATTCTGTTCCTCACAAAAATTGCGAAAAGCAACGCAGGCATTTTTTACTCTCTGAGCACCTATGCTGTGGAAGAATAATGGAAGATTTCTTCATCAACAACAGTTTTGTTGCAGTTCTTTCAAATAGATGCTAAAATTATCAGTTGTGACACAGCCGATTGTCTAAGGAAATCTTGGTATTTGTAAATGCATATATGCTCAGAAAATGGGCTATCTAATTGTAAAATGACATAGAACATTCTTCCATTTTCAATTTCTTTGATTTTTGTAATATCAAAATGGTCATTTGTACCTGGAGCTGCTGCCCTTGAGCTGATGAACATGGGCATCGACCTTCTTGAAGTCTATATTTTGCTGATCCCTGCATAAGGGGAAGAAAACGACCACTTTAAGAGACAAATATGGTTTTCAGGCTGAGGCAGATAGCAGGGGAAGATACAGGATAGAAGTTCTTACAGAGCCCTGGTGAGATCATTGAGAAGCTTGTCAGAATCTTCAAAGAAAAGAGACACCACTTCAACAACGAAGTCCGGGTTGCTCTCATCTTGCAGTTGCTGAAGCTGACTAAACTGACCATCCAAGAAGCCCTGAAATCCACATAAACTTTAAATAACAGAACAAAACTACCATAACCACCCAAGAATCTAACAACCTAAATAAAACTAACTTCCTGATATACTAATACAACATAAGAAAAACAGATACCCCATAATTTCATGACCATAAAACTGCAGTTTATGGGTTTTTACCTCCCGAAACAAAGATGCAGTGTAATCCACAAAGCTTTTCTGCAATTGACCAACCTCCATCTTTCTACCCTTCCTTTTGTCTTACTCTCTTTTGGTCTTTAGGACGATTTGAGGTTTGCTAGTTATGACAACCAATGAAAGCTTTCTGGTTGGCGTAGGCAGATCTTGAAGAATAACTGCAAAATCACAGGATATAAAAGCTTGAAAAGGATTTGGTGAATTTAATGTGTGCAGAAAGAAAAGGCCAAAAATTTGCCTACTTTGGGGTGCTACGTGGCACTAAAATGAAACTACCCCTGTCATTTTTCTCTCCTTTCCCTTCCTTATTTGGATTTGTGCTGCTCGTTTCACAGTATCACAGCCCCTTCAGTCCTTCTTGCAAGTTTAAAGCACTATTATTTATCATCCCTTTTAGCTTGAAAAGAAGTCATCTTTTCTTGTTCTCTACCCCACTTCAATACTCTTAATAGTTCTTAAGTATATTTAATGGTCTTATCTTTTCTTTCCCTCCTAGAAAAGTAGAAAACAAGGAATTATATCGTGTCTGCCTCCAAAGCAATAGTTCTACCCTATAAAATTGCACTAATTGATTGTTGACCTCAAAAGTAACTTTAGACTAGAGATTATGCTCCCATTTGCCTTTCATTGTTCGAATTAATATTTATGGTGAGAAAACTTATTCTGCTTCTCTTCTTTCCAATTTCAATGTGAAGAATCATATCATTGCAATCCAATCCTTAAGATGCCCCTCAAGACTTTCCCTTTTTGGGTGAAAACTTACCTAATCTTCTACCTGAGAAGACAGGCCAAGCAAACATACACAAACACAAATACGATAGAGAATCAGTCCTCCTCTTTCACACATCTTATTCGTGGATGTCCAGTTAATTACAAGAATAATTGATGCTCTTTTTCTTCTTTTTGAAAGTCACTATCAGAGGATTCCATTGCATTATTCCTCTTGGGAAGGAATATATGAAACAGTAACTGTATAAATTATTCTCATCTTCCAGCAAAGATATGAGGTTGTTTAAGTTTAAAAATTTCCAATGCTTCACACCTGTCAATAAGAAAATGCTACAGCAAATATTCAAAGATTCCAAATGGTAGGAGGGGATGGAAGCTGGATGACTTCAATCTGAGTAAGCCCATTACAACATTTAGCATGCAGGAATAAAACCCTTTTCTTTTTGAGTGATACAAGTAAGAAATCTACAGGATCTGTACCACTGTTGTCGTCGCCTTTCTGACTGGTGAGGAGTCACCAATTCAGTTTTTGTTCCCAGGACAATATCTTTGGCTTGCCGATAACCAACAAAGCAAATTTACTCAAGGGATGCGCATGTGAGTTGTGAATTATGATGTGAAACAATCATAAACAATTCCAGATTTTGCAATAAATTGTCTAGTTAAAAAATGTTACACTTGCTAGGCAGTATTGAAAATTTTATAGGACTCGTATGTAATATCATTCAACCCGGATTAAGTCTGCAACTAAAAAACAAAACAGTCATGCAATCAATATGTCAGTTTTCTCATGAGATGTGCATTCTCACAATTGAGACAGATAAGTACAGCTCTGATTTAGTTGTCAACTTAGAATAAGCCGCGTGATTATAATACTGCTCAGACTAAGTATTTTTTTTGTCAGAATGTCAATCCATCCGAGGTTATCCCTCCAAGAAAAAAATACTACTAGTCGGAAATTTGTCTATTTATATTGTTAGTAGAGGGGAAAATATGAAAGGAGGCCTAAAAATCAGTGCTGCACAGTGTCAGGTTTCAGAGATAATTTCCCAGCTAAAGCCGAAATCAGAGAGAACGGGAGAGAAAGAAGAAAAAGAAGAAAGAAAGCTGGACACCCCCTTTGATTTTGTATGGATAGCAAATTTTTCCAAAAAAATTTTTCATTTGCATCGTAAATACATTTTTCAATCCACCCTTTTATATTCCGAACCACCTTTTTATCTCACATACATTACATCACAAAAAATGTTACAGTAATTATTTTAAATAATTATTTGGGATAATACTCTATCCATATTCAATTCCTTAACTATTTTCTATTACAAGAGGACTATTTATGCAATTATTCCTAACTAGTTGCAACAAGGAAATAACCGCCATCTTAAATCTATCGACATAGTATTCATGGTAGGTAATCCTCCTGATTCAAATGCACAACTTCATGCATAAAACGACACCACCTTTTATTTTTAAGATCCAAACAATCCTTTCCCCTTAAACGAAGCTTGTTCTCAAGCTTGGAATTCTGGAAATTGCCTGTCAATGAAACTCCTATCCTCCCAAGATGATTCTGACTCTGGTACATTACTCTATTTCACCAAATACTAAATGATTGATTGAGAATTTCGCATGATAACTGTGAGAACCTGAAAATTTTCACATTTTT